GGGAAAGATATATTCCAAAAATAACTTGGAACATTAGGCAGCCAACTCCCATTAGTGCTATCAGTCCTCTGTGCTTTATAAAAATGTGTTCTTTTGTTACTAAAATTAACTAGCGGAAGGACTGGTTCTCTTTCCTACGATCGCAGCTGGTATGCAGATTGTTGATGTTGTTAGGAAGACTGAACAGACAGTATGTGGGTTGCCATTTATGTGGTGTCATGTAGTGGCATCATTCGAAATGCGCATGTGGGGAGGGACGTTCAGTTTTCATCTTTAACACTCAGAATAGCCTTGCTTGCTATGTCGAAAATTCGGTTTTTTTCCTCCTCCCCATAGCATGTTCCACTTGTGGCTTACGATGCTGTGACAGTACTTAGCCGTCAGTCGAGTAGTGTGTCACCTCCTGCTGGACACTGAATATTGGCATTATAAAAATCCATAATAAATTATAGAGAGTAGAACAAGTAAGATGACCAATACCAGCAATGGCTACGAGTGTTTTCATTTTCCTCTCTGTGGTAGTCCAGGGCAAAATGATACCTTAGGAATGAGGGTTGTGGCACTGTGGAGAAGAGCCTGAGAGAGGCTGGCAAGTATTTAACCTCTTGGTATTTCTGAACGCTCATGCGAAAGCTCCTCTGCACGCCCTGATTGCATCAGTTGAAACTTGATGCACAGCAGCGTGTTTACTTAAACTGAAGCAACTCCTGTGGATTTTGTATATCATTTAAACCAAGTTGCCCTTGAGTAGGCTGGGTCTTGTTGAGTGTTGCATGCAACTAAATCCATTTAGTCCAGCAGTTTTGTCTAAGATCCTCATCCTGAATGGAGGACAGCTGCAGAATCTAGCAGTGGTTTAGTCTACTTTCCTATGTTGTTTTCTGTACCTAAGTCCCGAAATAACACTTTTTTGCCTGCCTTCCACATTATGGAAAAGGGTTTGGCGCTGTGTTAAGCCCTCTGCCTGTGTGCGTCCTACATTGCTATTGTTTGCCAGCAAGTCAGACATCCTGTTTCCTAGGGAATGTGACTTCAGGGATGTTTTAAAATTGCATGAACTGTCTGGCCGCTACTGCTTCCTGTGCTGCATCCCCCCTCCGCTCCCTCCTGATCTGTCTCTGTCCTGTTTGCTCCTATTTGGAGACTAGAACAGCCTTTTTCCCATACTGGGTTTTCTGGGCTAGTCTACCTTTTAGCATCTTCGGAACACTTCTCTCTTTAACTTCGAACAGCAGCAGAAAATGTGATTGGAAAATGGCCAAATCCTTCTCGTTAGGCCACGGAACTTATCCCAAATCTACCTGTTGCAAACATTTGTGAATTCTCTCTTCTGGTCTTTCCTTGGCTTTCTTAGGGATAAGTTTCTAACTGCCCAGCATTACACTGTAGCAGCAGTTAATACATTTACTCCATAGAAATACAGCACACCCCCATTTTGCTGGGAATATGACAAGCCTCTAAATAAAAGAAGAAACCTACCTATCAATAAGCTTTTTTTTTTTTTCCTTTTTTTTTTTTTTAAGGTTTGAATGGCTTGGACAGTCAGTTAAATAGATGTAAACTGGCGACTTCCTATAGTAGTTGAAAAGGTCCATTCCTTTAATCAGAACCTAATACAGAAAAGACGAAGCACAGGTAATAATTTTGGTCAGGCAGCCCAGTGACTGGTCAGTCGATACCGTGCAGTCAGGTTCCTGCAGCAATTTTAGTGTCTTGTGATAGGAAGCCAAGTATTTTTAGCTTGCGGCTTTTCTTTTGGGGTGATGGAAAGTAGCGAGAAGATACAGGAGGTACCAAAGGAGTGGTTCCACTGTCGGTTTCACTCTGTAGCTAAATTCAATTTGCTCAAAGTCAGTAAAGACTTCCACTGAATGAAATGGGAAGAGTATCATGTGCAGTTTCAGGAAACGTTAGGCTTATTTAACCTCTCTGAGGAGCTTTTTCTTGCTCCCTGGTGTTGAGGTGATTGAAACGATGTGATGGTTGTTTTTCAGGCTGGATCCTTATAGACCGTTGTGGGAAGCACTTTGGAACAATTTTAAACTATCTCCGAGATGACACGATTGCACTTCCAAAACACAGACAGGAGATCAAAGAGTTGATGGCAGAAGCTAAATATTATCTCATTCAGGGCTTAGTGGACATGTGCCAAGCAGCCCTGCAGGTAAGAAATAGAAGTAGCCTGTAAAGATTTTCATGGGTGTTTTGTTTGTAAAATTTCCTGAAGACAACTCCAGGGAGTATTTCATGGCCCTAGGGATGGTATCAAGTCTTAGATGTACAAGACAGCCTGGAAAGAAAATGAGACAGCAGTCAAGTAAGTTGTAAGATCTTATCCAGTATGTTTATCAAAGCCATAGTTATCCTTGCTCTGTATGCACACCTGAGAGCCCGCGATGCTTTGAATGAGACGAAATTTAGTTTATGATCTCCCTGGAAATGTTTTGAGACCCACGTGCTATCATGGCACAGCCTTCCAGGCCACAGGTACCTGTGCTCTGAAGGCATTTGGTGCAATTGGTGAGTGGTTACATTATCAAGGGAGCTATTTCCTTGTAAGAAGAGAAAGACTGTCCCCTGGTTAGATGAGAGAAAGATTGTCCCCTGGTTAGATTATATGAATCTAGAATGTGCAAGATGCAGATTCCAGTTCCTGTCATTTCGGAGATGTCGTTTCCCTTTGTGCTTCCATTCAGTTGTCCGGCTGCCCCCTCAGAATGGGGGAGTAGCACTTTTCTACTT